TTGGGTCTCCAGGGACAGGAGGGACCCTCATTATGGGACAGCTCCTCAGGCCAGCAGATCAAGAGACCATTGGATGAGACTTTCCGGGGTGGGGGTGGCTCTCTGGGGCCTGGGTCCTTTCCCAGTGATGTCACGGGAAGACAGGGCTAATGCCTGTCTCAGCTCACTGGGGCTCCCTCAGACAAGGGCTTGGTGATGGCCCAGAAGAGTGACGATGACATCGCTCATGGTGTGCCAGGCTCTATACCCAGTGCTTGAGATTTCTTGGCTCACTTAACCCTCTCAAGGTGCCATTGCTGTTATTTATTGTTGTTGAATCATTAAGTGGTGTCTGACTCTTTTGCAACTCTATGGACTATAGCCTACCAGGCTCCTCCGTCCATGGGATTTCCCAGGCAAGAGTACTGCAGTGGGTTGCCATGCCTTCTCCAGGGCATCTCTCCAACCCAGGGATCGAACCTGCATCTCCTGCATTGGCAGGTGCATTCTTTACCACTGAATCACTAGGAGCCCCAAGGTGCCAGTACTAGCCTCATTTTGAAGATGTCAAAAATAGGCACAGAGAGGCTAATACACCTGTCCAAGTTCACACAGCTGGCCCAGAACGGGGCAACCCCAGAGCCACCCATCTTGTGCTGCCTCCCCCAGGGGGACAGCTGAGCTGGGCGATGGGGAAGCAAAGGTCCAGGACAGCTGGGAATGGGGGTCTACTGTTCAAGGGCCCATACAGCTCGGGACTGATTCAGATGATTCCCACAGGGTCTCACTTAGGGATTCAGGTATCCCTCTTCCCGTTTGACAGCCTAAGGAACGAAGCTTAGAGAAATTAAGCCACCTGGTCAAGGGCAATTGGAACTCAGTTCTAACTGAACTACTGTGTGACCGAACCTGAAGCCCAAACTCTCAGCAGAGGTTTAGGGAAGACCCATCAAAGCTGCCCACTGTGTCGAGTACATGCTTTGCAGGCATCTCCCCCAAATTACAGCAACAACCCTGCGGAGGTGGGGGTGGTGTCACCTCCATGCACAGGTGTGAACACTGAGGTCTGGGGAGGTTGTGACCTTAGGCAGCAGGATACGAGCCTGAAAGTCCTCTGCGCTCACCTGTGGGCCCAGAGAGCTAAGGGCAGGGCTTCTGGGAGGAGGAAGGCAGAGACCCGGGGACTGGAAGGAAGTCAGAGGTGGCCCTGATCTCTCACTACTGCTCATCTTGGAGGTAGTGTGAGTGGCCCTGAGCCCCGGGAGCCAGGCTGGAGCCATCAGCTGTCTAACTGCCAGCCTTTCAGGGGACCAGAGCTGGGCTGGCTCCCGGACAGAGAGGCCCCCACCCCCAGGCCATCTCTAATGTAGAAGCCTGTCCACTGGTGCCCGGAAGACCTGCCAGCTCCTCCAGGGCTCAGCTTTTATCTCAGCCTGCCTGGAACTGCCAAGTGCGCCACAAACTGCCTGAGCCTGAGCCAGCACCAGCCCAAGAGCCCAACTCCCACCACCCTGGCCTCCCCACAAAAACACAAGTCAGGCTGTGGTGGGGGGGTCGGGGATGGGTTCCTGCTGATGCCCAGGTATTTCTCGGTCTCTTGCGGGCTGGGAGGCAGGAAGACATCCCCCCTCAAGCTATTACATGTATCTTTGGGCCTCTGTGCACCCATCTGCCCAAGGGAAAGATCATAATAGTAAAGGCCAACATGTGGGACAAGCGCTGGTGTCAGCACTTCACTGCATTAGTCCTTCAGGCTCAAAACAGCCCCTGAAGTAGATACTGTTGTGTTTTATCTACTTTTTCCAGATAAGGAAAATGAGGCGCAGACACCCAAGTTCACACAACCCGAGAGGAACAAAGCTTTTCCCAGATAAGTGGCCTTGCCTTCTCCATGGGTTCTGTTGCCCTAAAAGCACATGGGCTTAACAGTGGCAAGGATGGGGTTCAGGACAAGGACACATGGCCTCTGGCCCCCAGCAGGGAGTCCGGCCTGGCTGAGGAGTCCCCTTCCCATGGAGAGGGGCAGAAGAGCACCGTGGACGAGAGCCCAGACTCTGGAGCCCCCAAGATAAGAGGTCAGCCCTGGAGGAGCCTCCTGTGCCTCAGTGCTCTCATCTCTAAAATGGGCACACCAGGAGCTTGTAGAGTGGGAATAAAGGTGTCTTCTAAACGCTGAGCCTAGGGCCTGGCAGAGTCTGAGGGCAGTGAGGATCCAGGACTGTTCTAGTCCAGCTAAGCCCCCAGGGAACCAGAGAGAGTTTGGGGCTTGAGGGGCCTGCATGGGGTGGGGGTGTCTCAGCCCACCTGTGCCAGAGCAGGCACCCAGCAGGGGTCAGAAAATATGTATCTTGTGCTCCTTCCTCCAGTAGCTCCAACCTGACCCCCAAATCTTCAGGGCTCCCTAGGGACCCCAAGAAACTCCTCATGGGTGAGAGGACCAGACTGGCAGAGGGCAAGCCTGGGGAGGCTGGGGCCCAGCCAGGACCCCACCCCATTCGAGAGGCCCCTTGGTACCAGCCCTGCCCTGCCCTACCCCCACTTGCCATCTGCCTGATCCCTGGGGTCCTGGTCCCCCCAGCTGCTGGGTTTGCTCACGTGATGCCCCAGCTGCTGTGAGTCAGAACACAGAGTCACAGGGCTGCCCTGGGATCAGGCTTGGGGGTGCTGAACCTGCTCTGGTTCCAGGTGGGGCAGCGCAGTGAGATTTGGGGCTGTGTGGTCACATTTCCCCCACCCCCCAACAGCCCTGCCCCTGACTCTTCACTCCAGCCCCCGCCACCCACCATGGTCTTGCTGAGGATGAAGTGACCTGGGGCTGGACTCAACCAGAGCACCGTCCACGTACGTGGCCTTCTTCATGGCAGATTCTGCCCTGCCCATCTTGCATCTGTCATGCTGGACCTTGCTAGGAAGCCCACCCCCCACTGCACACGGACCTGGCCACAGCTCTGCCACCTCTTTTACCTGTCCTTCTCCTGGACTGGGCGACCACCATCCCCCTCTGTCCCCTCAGCCATGAAGCTGCTCCCTCCAAGCAGGAGCCTTGGGCCTGGGGTAGACAGACCCTCCCCTCCCCCCTTAACAACCCTGCCCTCCTCATCCAGCTTGGGTGGCAGCTCCCTTCCCCTGCGAGCAGACTGCAACCTGCCGGCCTGGCTACCAAAATGACACATGCCAGCTCTCCAGTACCATCACTGCCCCAGTCCCCCCAGTTCTCATCATTCCCAAGCCTTTTCCCACTGCAGTTTCTCAGCCAGGAATGCCACCCCCGCCACCCCATCAGCCCTCCCCCTCTCCCCATTAGCCTCCAAGGCCAGCCTCTATGCCCTCTGCGGAGCCTCCCATTCTCCCAGGTCAGGAAATTCTCTCCTCCTCCGTCAGCAAGCTTATCTCCTTCCTCGGGCCTCAGATCCTAATTGTCTTGTTTGTTTGTGTCCCTGACAAGTTGAGGGTGTCCTGCCCAGTGGCCCAGGGAACCACCGAGGCTGGCAACCACGGAGCAGGCTGTCTAGCAGAGCCTCTGCCTCCCTCAGAGCCACGCCCGCCCGGAGTGGTGTCCTTCACAACCCGACCCTCTCAGAGCCAAGCCCAGGACGGGAGGCAGGGCAGCTACTACCCCCCCACCCCAACACACACTCCCACTTATCAGCAGGGCCACTGTGCCCAGAGAGAGAGAGGCAAGGCAAGGTGGCCGCGGTGGTGCTAAGACCAAGGTGGGGATGCATCTCAGGCCCCTGGGGTCCCTGCAGCCAAAGGGCTCAGGTCTGGTCCCAAGAACAAGTCCTGCCCTGGTCATTGGCAGGGAAGACCCCGCGGGACCCCTGTCCTGGGATCTGGGGGACCAACTCAGCCCCTGATGGTTCTCACTGACTCCAGACCCTTCTCCCCTACTCAGTCCCGAGGAACCAACACTCTGCCCTCAGCGTATCCCCACTGGGGGTGGCGTGGGGTGGGTAGGGCAGGGGCTTGGCTCTGGACCGCCCACATCCCATTTGTCTCATTCAAATGCATCCCCACCCCAGAACAGTACCAGGCACACAGTAGGCACTCAATTATTATTTATATAATTAACCTCTCGGGCCCTCTATAGCCACAAAGGCTATTTTTCCCCACCCCACTTCGCCCAGGCCAGAGCTGCTCCAAGCAGGATGGTAGTGGTGGCGGTGTGGTGAGGGGTCCCCTGCCTCAAGTCATGCCCCCCCAACCCTCCTCAGTAAAATGAGCACCAGCCACCTCTGTGGGGGCCATGGGAGACCCCAACTCCCATGAAACGGCACCACAGGAAGGAGGCCGGTTGGGAAGGAGGTGGGGAGAGGACCCAGCCGTCCCCCAGGTGGGGAGGCCCTATCAGCTCTTAGCAGATGGGGGCCTGGGGCCTGGCGGTTAGCAAGCGGGGAGCACTTCCCCATCGTCGGCCACTGGTTCCCAGGATGTTCTGTCTCATCCCGGGTCCCCCGTGTTCAGACCCCCCTGCCTGGTTCATCTCCTCTCAAAGGCAGGGCCTGGGCCATGAAGAGCCGCGGTACCCCTGGCTCCGTAGGCGGCGGGGATCCCCGGGACGCAGACCCAGGGCAGCTGCAGGCCAGGCTGCCCCTCAAAGGCCCGTGCCCAGACACCTTGCACTATCCTCTCCTCCCCGAGGCCAGAGGCTGGCTTTCCCTCCCCAGACTTGTTCTGTCACCTCTCACAACCTTGCTTCTCCCATCTGAACGGTGGGGGCAGGAGACAACAGTGCCTTCCCGTCCACGGAGCAGCCCCAGGCTTGCCGGACTCAGGGACCCTACCACTCCCAGCCTCAGTTTCCCCGGCTAACAAATGGCTCTGAGAGGTTCCACCCTCTCCGGCTCCACCCCCTTCCGCGGAGTCTGGCTGTCCATCCACCCGCAACTCTCCAGCCCGGGGCACAGCCCTGCTCATGTGTGGGCTAGAGACTTCAGAGCCCCGCTCCACCGCCACCCCACCCTCAGCCGCACACACCCCCGTCCTGCCTCCCTCCTGCCGTCGAGCCCTTGATCTGGTACCTGGTGATGAGCAGGAGAAGGTCCCGCGTGGGGCTAAGCAGTGGAACAAGCTTTCAAGATCCACCTCTGAGGCTGAACCTGCCAGCCGTGGTCCCGCAGTGGCCGCGGGAGCTGGTGCGCATGGAGACTCCCTCTCCTGAGGCAGGGCAAGGCAGGCAGCCAGTGTGGAGCCGGGGGGAGGCGCCGCGTTGTGTTTGTGGGGGGTGGGGGGGGACACCCCCTCCTGCCCCAGCTGGGCTCCTCCCTCCTCCAAGCTCGGCCGGGGATGACGGGACCATACGTGAGTCACACGGATTTCTCAGAGGGAGGCTGGGAGGGGGCAGGGCCGAGAGCACCGAGGCGGGGACATTGGGGGATGCCCATGACTCAGCGCTGGGCAAGGGGGCACCTCGGCCTCACCTCCCCCCCGCCCCCCCATCCAGGTGCCAGGCTTTGTGGGCGGATGCTGGTCAGAGATAACTGCCTCCTCGCCCTCCATCTGTTACTTCCCCAGGGCTGTTCTCCCCAAGTTCCCGCAGAGAGGCCAGGGTTACTATGGCAACAGTCTGCCCCGATGCCGCCCCCTCCACCCAGGGCCCGGCAACAACTGCCCCTTCCTGAAAGAAAGGCCGGCCTCCTTGGCAGCAGGCAGGAGCCGGTGAGCTGGTGCTGACCAGCAGAGCGGAAGGGACTCTGGGGAAGGGGTGGGGTGGGGGGCGGGGTGCCAAGCCGCCTGGCATGCTGCCAGCCAGGCCACACACAACTGGCCACTTGACCTCGACTCTTCCCTGAGCCTCAGTTCTCCTCCCAGCAAAGGGAACCACCTCATGCTCCCCAAGCACTCATAACATGCAGCAGACTCACGCCCTGGACTCTGAGACCCCAAGGGCTTCTTGAAATGGCCTTACAGTTTGTCTGCTGGGTCAAAGGGGGAAACTGAGGCCCAGGGAGGAACCCTTCCTGGTGGCTCCCAAAGCTCAGAAAGAGAAATTTGGAAATGGGCTGACACCCCCTTTCCCTTTCTGGCCACTGGCATCTGTCAGCAGTTTCCTCTCACTGTTAACCTTCACGGCCACCCTGGGAGTCAGGAAACTTCAGATGGCCCATGCTCCCCCACTGTGGAGGGCAGGGAATCCCTCATCTTCCCTCATCCCTCCAATGTGAACCGATGATTTCCAAGTCACAGATGCTGGAAGGATTTCATAGCCTAATGAGGGCAAGTGATGACAGCAACAATAACAACAGTAATAATAATAATTAATAATAAGAATTATATGTACTGACCATTTACTACATTCCAGACTCTTCCCTCGCGCCATAGCCATGGCACCATGGGAAAACTCGTTGCTCAGACCAGCGCCTGACACTTGATGGGCCCTCAGTCAGTATTTGCCATGAATATGCTGAATCAGAAGGAAGAGCTAAGAAGCCCAGAGAAGGGAATTAACTTGCACAAGATCACATAGCTGGGAAGTAGCAGAGGTGGGACAGGACCCCAGAGAGTCTGGCTCCACAGTCGGCTGTCCTAACTGCGCATGAACATAGACTCCCCAGGCCTCTGGAGCAGGCCCTGGACACAACGGATGCCCAGGGCCCTAAGGTCCCTTCTTTCTCGAGGGGATCTGCAGAAGGGCCTGGAAAAGTCACCTGCTGCAGCATGAATGGAAGCTTTTCAGGCAGCCCAGGAGGCCAGGGGCTGCTGCTGGTGAAGTCCATCCCTCAGCTGCTCATATAAATCAAGCTGCAGGGAAGAGGAAGGGAATAAAGCTACATAGCGGGGTACAAGGAAGCCCCCAGGCCTGAGCTTCTGGAAAGCAGTGCTGTGCTCTCCAAGCGGTCAGACCGCTGATCAGACTGTGCCCCTGCCCGGGAGAGGTGGGCACTGGGTCTACGTCCAGCCAGCTGCTCCCTCCCAGGGCTGCAGTGAGCACTGCCTCATGGCCAGGGCAGGAGGGGCCGGTCCACATTGGAGACCAAGAAACAAGGGGTGAAGATGTTCTTCCTCATCAGAAAAACAACAGGGAGGCAAGGACCCAGGAAAAGGATCAAGGATTCCTTAAATTCATGTCTTTGGGCAAATTGTCACTGCTAAGGTTCAGTTCCCCCAAGGTCTGTCCTTCAGGGCCAGGCCAGATGATCACTGGAGCAGCCTCGGCTGTTCTCCGGGATCCAGGCCAGCCAGGCAGCAACCAGACACACACACACACGCACGCGCACCACAGAGGGTCCTGGCTAGCAGGGCACAGATGAAGGGTCAGCGGCGCCACTCTGCAGTTGGCCGGGACTTGCTGAGCTGGATGTCCAAGCAAGGGACGCAGAAGCCTGGAGCTAAGTGCCACCCTGGCCACATAGGAAAGGCCCTAGATGGTGGCCTGGCCGGGCAGGGGCTGCTCACCAGGCTCTGCCTGCTCTCTCACACCAGCCTGCTCAGGGACCTACTATGTGCTGGGCACTATGCCAGGCTCCAGTTGTTGGGGGACAAGCCTGGCTCACATTGTAGCAACACTGGGGAGTCAGTCATCAGCCACAGAGCCCCAGGGGGCTCTGGGAGTCGGAGAAGAGAAACCAAATAATTATTAATCACAGCACTACCTCTTACTGGGCTTCCCAGGTGGCGCTAGCAGGAAAGAACCTGCCTGCCAATGCAGGAGACATAAGAGACACAGGTTCAATCCCTGGGAAGGGAAGATCCCCTGGAGGAGGAAACGGCAGCCCACTCCAGTATTCTTGTCTGGAAAATCCCTATGAGAGGAACCTGGCGGGCTGCAGTCTATAGGGTCGCAAATAGTCAGACACGACTAAGGCGACTTAGCATGCATGCTACCTCTTATAAGTACTACTATCGGGACTAATTACCAAGGTTGTGTCCATAGGCTCTGTGTAAAATGCTCAGCTCTGTCTGAGTTCTTGTTGTATCCTCCACCCTGTGGGCTGGTCGTGCTGGTATTTCAGAGACACAAATGGTCTGTGTCTAGGTCTCCAGACCCACAGGCTCCAACCAAGCACCTGCCAGGCACCAGGCTCCTGCTAGGTTCATCACATTCAGCATCTCCCTTGCGTCTCAGGACAGTTGTTATCCTGCTCCACTGAAGAGGCACAAGGCTCAGAGAGGGTGGGGGTCACAGCCAGGGTTTGAACCAGGTTTGCTGGCCCTTGAGACCATCTGGGTCTCGAAGAATCAGTTTCAATGAACAGAGACCAGCAGGAAGGACTTTCTAGGCAGAGGGGACAGAATCTACAGAGAGAGGAGAAGCAAGACATGGGAGGAATCATTGGAAAGAAGTAGGATCTAATTAGTGGGTGAGGGCAGATTCTGGAAGATTCTGAAAGCACGGAGTTTGCTTCTGAAGGGGTTTCATCAAAGGCGCTGAGAAGCCAGGGAAGGAATTTCTTGTGACCAGCACTCAAAAGGCAGTCCACAGACCTATAGCATGACCAGAGAAGATGTTAGAAATCCAGCATCTCAGGTGTGCCCCAGATCTGCCGAATCAGAATATGTATTTGAACAAAATCCCAGGTGGTTCCAGCATTTATTCAACCAGGAGAAACCTTGGTCTGCTCTAGGAGCTGCATCAGCAGTGAGGGGATGGGATATGGAAGGGAGGCCAGAGCTCCGCTGGGGCTTTAGAGATGGAAGCGGGTGGGAGGCTAGGGGAGGCTAGGGACTTTGGTCCAAGAAATGAGAAGCAGAGGCTGGGACCCCCACTCCACATGTGAGAGGGGATATGATGCCATATGCTGTCGTGAAATGCAGGGGGCATGGGACAGACTGCAGATCTGGGTGACAGGGATGAGGCTGCCTATGGGCACAGCAGAATGGGGGTATCCTTGTGATATAGTGGGGGAACCTTCCAAAAGGTCACTGGAAACACATAGCTAGGGTTCAGGGGTGAAAGGCTGAGGTCTCCCAGGGCCAGGGAAGGTCATGAACATTACTGGCTGGTGATAGCAGCCAGAGATGGGGTGGAGAGTGCAGAAAGTTGCAGACAAAGGCTTCATTTGAAGGGACGGAGGAGAGGTGGTAATGCTACTGTCGAGAGGCTGGACTCAGACTCTGGGCTCAGAGCAATGGGCTTCTGCTCTCGGCTCTGGCAACCTAGGGACTCAGGCAGCATCTCTCTAGTCATCCGCCATTGTGCGGATAGTAACAGCACCACCAATAGTAATAAATGAGGCCACATATGTCAAGCTCCTGGCCCAGCCTGGCACAAATGCGTACTCTGATATATTTGCAAGGGCTTTGCTGTTCAGAGGAGCCTGCACAGGAGACAGAGGTGGGGCTGTCAGGGTGGTGGGAGGATGTGTGGTCCCCAGTACAAGAGGGAGGACGGGACATTCATGGTGGTCACAGTGGCAGAGGCTTGGGCAAGTAGGAGGGTACAGCGGGGCTTCTGCCTGGAGGCCTCATCCTTTCCCGACGCTAACCCTTCAGCCTGGGCAGCCTTGCAACAGTGGAGCACTGTGCCCACCGTCAGGAAGGTCACCACTGCCTGTGTATGGGTGGGTTCTTATTGGACAAGAATTGTTCAAGTTCAGGCTTCTCCCCCTTGCAAGTTGAGTGTCCTTGAAAATAACTGAGCACCATGCCTGGCACACAGTAGGTGCTTGACAAATGTTGGCCAATGTCATGATTATCATCAAGTTAACGCAAATGCCACAGGCCCACACTCCACCGTTCGCAAAGCCCTTTCATGTCCAGTGTCTCCTCTACAAACAGTGATGACTGTTCCCACTTAACAGAGATGAAGACTGAGGCTCGGAGAGAGACTTCTCCCAAAGACTCACAGAGCATCCGCATGAGAGACAGGATTCGAACCCTGATCCTGACTCAGACTACATACTTGGTGACTGATGCTCCCAGCCACCTCCCTGTTCATTCCCGTGGGAAAGCTTCCTGGCCACAGGCGTGGGGGCAGCCACAGTCCCATGATAAACCATCACAGCCACCAGGGCGCAGGGGGTTGGCACAGGCCATGTGACTCAGCCGCCCTCACAAAGGGAGCTGTGTGCCTCGTGCTTTAGGCCTGCCTCCGCCACCCATCCCCCAGCCAGAGAAGGAGCAGGGAGCCTGACAAATCCAAGACGCAGGAGAGCTAGAGGCACCTTCAGCCAATGGGACAAGTTTAATGGAGATTCAAGTCCAGACTTGGGGTGCAAGAGGCTGGTGCCAGCTCCAGCGGTGGAATGAAGGGCAGAGGCCACCCAGGTCCAAGCTGGCTTTCTGAGGCCTTATTTGGAGGGCCAAGGACAGACTCGATCCCATTGGCTCCTCCTGGGGCACCAGGCAGGTGCCCCACCCATGTTTACCTGCATCAGGTTTCAAAAGCACCAGGGCTTGTGGTCTGGGGAAAAAGACACTCCCTGGATACCAGCCGCTGGGCTCCTGTGTCCACAGCTGTGTCCCCAGCACTGACCTCTCACCACCCCTTTCCCCCTGAAGGCTTCAGACTCAGAGCCCATGTGCCCCTATTGAGCT